GAATGTTCTTGACACTGTCTCGTCTCTGTTGTGGGCATCCCTTGCTGAAAAAGATAGACGATTTGTCATGATTGATCCTCTGGCCAGAAGCATTACAGTATGTCTCCAACAGGTTTGATACCGCAGTCGCGCCCTCAGAGCTTGACTTAAAAAGCAACAGGCTGTCATCAGCAAAAAGGAGATGGTTCACAACCGGAGCTGTAGGAGCCACCTTGATTCCCTCAAGACCCAACGACTCAGAACTGGATTTTAAAAGGCACGAAAGGCCCTCATTGAACATGACTGAAAAAGAGACGGACCGGACCATGCTCATAACTGTGTCAACCCAAGGTTGTGCAAACCCCAGCTTCTCCATCATAGCCTGCAAGTAGTCCCACTCGAGCCTATCGTAGGCTTTCATCATATCCAGCTTCAAAGCGCAATAACTGTTAGATTTGGATTTATTCCGTTTCATGAAGTGGAGACACTCGTAAGCACATATAATGTTGTCAGTTATTAGCCGGCCTGGAACAAAAGCTGATTGCTCATGAGATATGATATCAGGTAGTATCTGTTTGAGTCTATTGGCAACTACTTTCGAGGCAATTTTGTAAATGACATTGCAAAGACTTATTGGACGAAACTGTGCAAGATGAGTTGGGTTCAAAACCTTCGGGATGAGCACCAGAACCGTGTCATTCACACATTCGGCACTTTCCTCACCTCTAACTATAGTGAGCACGGCACGGGTGACCTCCTCACCACAGATATCCTAGTGACGCTGATAAAAGTGAGCCAGGAATCCATCGGGCCCCGGTGCCTTCGTCGGGAACATCTGGAAAAGAGCAATCTTCACCTCCTCATTAGTGTATGGGGCCAACAGAATTTCATTCATTTGCTGCGTTACCTTTGAGGACACCTTAGAGATGACTTGATCCAAGCCATTTACACCTTCGGATGTATATAGGCTCTTGTAGAAATCTGAAACCATCATTCTCAATGCTCCCGGATCATCAACGATTACACCCAAAGAGTTCGCAAGAGCTTTAATCATGTTCTTCTTGCGCCTCTGGCTTGCACGAAGGTGAAAGAAACGAGTGTTTTTATCTCCCGCCGATAACCATTCCAGCCTGGACCGTTGTCTCCACATTAGTTCCTCCCTGTGGTAGAGTTCGATCAGCCTCTCATTGATTTTCAGCTCGATGTGAGTTGGTCGCTTTCTTGCTGGATCAGCCCTCAGCCGTTCAAGCTCGGTCTTAAGGCTTTTGATTTCCTTTCGTACTGAGCCAAACGTATTCCTGTTCCATCGCCCAAGATCCGCTGCAACCGCGCCGAGCTTGTCCCGAAGCTCTTGCACTCTTGCTGTTGCTCCACCTGCCGTCCAGCTCTGCAACAAGGTGTCGCGCAGGTTTTCATGCGCCTCCCACATAACCTCATACTTAAAAGTTCTCTTAATTTTCATGGTGGCCGTGGACCACGTATGTTGAGCAAAATAGGGCAATGGTCAGAGGATGAAGCTATTAAATGTTTCAAAAAGGCCGCCGGGAACCTCTCGTAAAAATAAATAAACACATTTTAAAAATACATAAAACATATATAGGGGTCGGCCACAAAACGGCCCAGTTTCCACGGCCACTTAAAAAGGCTCAGTTTCATAATTAATATATAAAAACAAAATAAAAAAACTCCTCCCACGCGCTCCTGCCGCGCCCGTAAGTGCCGTGGCCGTCGCCGTCTTCACTGGCCGCCGGTGTCGTCGTCGTCGCTGACGAGGTCGACGTAGGCCGGCGGCGTCCACAGGTGGGCCGGAGGTGCGTGGTGGACGGGGGCGGGCTGGACGGCCGGACGTGCCTGCACCACCTCCTCCCGTGGCGACGCCTCCCGCTCCGGTGAGCAAGGCGGAGTGGGGCACCAGTTCACGCCCATGCCGGCAACCATCTCCGGAGCAGTGCAGGACCAGCCCCACCCCTGGCCTAGCAGCTGCTGGAACGCGGCCGCCGGCGGGTCCTCCTCCATCGCCTCCTCCGTGACGGCCGCCATCTGCAGCTCCGGAAAGGCGACGTCCCCGGCAGCAGAGAGCGCCATGGCCTCCTCCAGGCCGTTCCACTGCCGCTCATCGTGCGTGTTCATGGAGTCGTCCATGACACGCTGCAGGAGACGGGCCTCCTCCTCCGCTGTCATGCGAGGAGGTGGAGGGGGCGACGGAGACGGCGAAGGCGACGGCGTGGGCGTCAGGCCGCGCACCCACGTACGCCCGCGCGCCTCTGCACGTGGCCTCCGCGGCCTCGACACGGTGCCGGCGAAGTAGGACGCGCGCCGCGTGTCGTGCTCGTCTTGGAGCCATGTGTCCCACGGCGGGGAGTCGGGGGTATACCTGTGGTCGTAGTACAGGTCGACGGGGAGGAGGCGGCGGCGGCGCGCGATCTCATCACGCCGGGCACGGCCGGTCGGCGGCACTGGCGGGATGGGGACCCGGTCCGCGGAAAGGTGCCATCCGTTGGGGAGGTTGGCGTCGCTCCACGGGACCGGCGTCCTCGTCTCCCAGTACCTCCGACACACGTCCGCGCAGATGTACTGCCGGTCGCGGTAGCCGGCGGACCTAGGGGCAATGGTGAAGGGGGCCGTCACGGGGGCTCGACGGGAGGAGCGCGGCGGTGACGCGGGGGGTCGACGGAAGGAGCGCGGCGGTGACGCGTTCTGCTCCTCCTTCACGGATCTGCGGCGGCGGCCCGAGGAGGAGCCGGCCTCGCGGTCGTGCTTCCCCTTGCGGCCGTAGTTCCAAAGGCCCATGGCTGTGGCCGGCCGGCGAGTTCGAGGACAGGGAGTGGCTAGGGTTTCTAGGGTGTCGGCTTTCGAGGGGGCAGAGAGGGGCCGGAGTGGGAAGTGAGGACGACGACCGGTCCACGGGTCCCATTTAAGAAGAACGGCGACCTTCCACTGGGCCGATGACAGATGGGGCCGGCCGCCCATGCGCATTGATGTTGGCGGGTGGGAGGTAGGTGGCCGTCCCGCCACGCGGCCAGACGCGGACGAGCGGCGCGTCCGTTCTGTGTCCGCGACGACCTAAACCCGGCGCAAGTTCGCGCTCGAAATGGGTCGGCCCGGACACAAAATGGACCAGATGGGTCCGGGTCGTCGCGCGCTGGGCCGTCTCGTTTGTTCCTTTTACCTCAAACGGACAGGGATGGACAGGATAAGGTCGCACGATAGAATTGGCGTTAGGGCCAGGGCAGCACCGCTGCCGCGGCGCCGCGCCAGGCTCGGTTTCCCTCAACGGCATCGGCGACGCACGGACGGACGGACGTACGTGTGCCCCAGTGCGCTATGGCACTGCACGTACACGACGCAGAGACGTACGGTGGCATGGACGGGTCGGCGTCGAGCTATATATCGAGCGTGTTGTGCAGCGTGCGGGTGGTCGCTGCTGCATGCTGCGCCCATGTGGGTGCCGGGCGTACGAGCTATCTCCAGCCCGAGCAGTGGCGCACCGGCACGGCGCCGTGTAGCGCGCGGTGCGCACAGGCGGCAGCAGTGGCCGCCGCTTGCTTGCCTTCTGTTGCGGGTTTACCCGGCTGCTCCCCCGCCAGTCCGTGACTGTTCCGTTTCAACTCGGCGCACAGTGGCGCGGCCACGTTCCGGGTGCAGTCCGCGCACTGTGCACGCTCGCATTCGTTCCTTTTGTTCCTGCGCTGCACTCCTAGCGACCTAGCGGCTTTTCTGACACTCCTACTACTACTATACGGTCGCTGCGTGGGTACGTGTTGTCACTGCGTGCCGGTGCATGCCGTAGGAGGGAGGAGGGGATCGGAGAAGGGAGCAGAGAGGGGTAAATGCGGTGCCTGCGCGCTTTCTGAAGCATTGTTTCCTGGGGCGCGTAGGAGCCATAAATTGCTCATGTGTGCAGTAGTACAAAGCATGGTGGTGTTGCTTGGCCCGGTAACTGTAGAGGTATTCCTCGGTTTGGCATTTCTGGGGCTGGTACAACGGGTTGCGACAAATTTATACACTTGTGGGTATGCAGTACATGTACAACGCCAAACATTCAGAGATGATCTATCTTGCAAGACCCATTGGGTATTCTCGGTTCCTATGGTCCTATAGCTGGCGAGTTCGACATGTTAAAACATGAGATGATCTTGCTTCACGATTAATAGACTAAGACTCTGACGATCATCACCAAAGTCGTTGTAGTATAGTGGTAAGTATTCCCGCCTGTCACGCGGGTGACCCGGGTTCGATCCCCGGCAACGGCGTTTTTTCATCACACCGCCGTTAATTGCATTTTGTAGGTACCTATGAACAGCATTTTTTTTTTACTTGAGCCATGAAGAGCATTGATCGTAGGTAGAGCTATCAGAGGTCGCATGAAAGCAAGTCAAGGACACGACTTCCATGTCTTCATCTAGATCCCCTAGTATTTTCCTGAGGATAGGAGAAGTAGGTTATGATATTGGTACCAGAGCAATTCCAGGTCTCGGTGCCAGGCCGCCCCTGCCTCACATCTGAGACCAGCAAAAAATTGCTTCACACACGATCGGTTCTCTTCTATCTGCGTGTGCTCGGAGGCGCCTTCAGGGATGCACAACCGTAGCCACTAGAGACGCAACTCCTTCAACACAAAGCGCCGTACATGAAACATTGACGATGTAAAAGGCGGACATCAAAGCTTCAAAATTATTCCGTGGAGTAATTAGAAAATGGATGGGAGATGGAAATACAGTGATGGTCATGTCCATACATAGCATTTCGAGAATAAACACAAAGAATTTCACTTCCACAGTTCCAGACTTCCAGTACCACTGAAAATCAATCAACAAACACTCACCGAATAATAATTCGCTTCCGGTCTGCCTCTTGTGATAAACTACCGGCTCAGGAAACATAGTTGAACATACATACATACTGCCGCCATTGAAACAACATACGGGAAGGTGGAAATATGGCAAATGCCAGGAATAAAACACAAACAAACAAAAAGTTGTGGACAAGATCCAGCAATCTCCTTCAATGGGAACCAAGGTTTAAGCAGATCCAAACTCGGCCATCCACTTCTCGTGCCGTTCGATATCAGAGGGCGACACACTCTTCTGGACCTTGACCAAAGCTTCTTCAAAGTCACACATGGCTACCGGGTCCTTTGAGATATCATCCTTTGACATGTTCTTGATCTCATCACGGGTCTTGCCTGCAATCTTTCGCCTCATACCATTCATCGAAGCATCACGGCAAACATTTGTCAGGTCATCCCCACTATACCCTTCTGTCCTTCGTGCGACTTCGTCGATGTTAACGTCAGTAGCTACCTGTTGATACAAAAGTGGGGCGTTAGTAAGCAACACGAGATATTAAACAGTGACTTATCATCAACGTAGATGATGCAGTATGATTAGTGAACAGTATCCCTGAATGAAATAAAACCATAACGACCAAATGACGAAAAGATGAGTAACAAATGCTTTAGTACATCATACCTCAACCGTTCTAAGATTTATGCTGATGAGTGATTTTCTGCTTTCAAAACTTGGAAGTGGAATGTAGATACGCTTTTCCAGCCTCCGCCTGAGCCAATCAAGATTCAGTGAGTTAAAAAACCATATGTGCCAGAGGAACGGTAACATAAATATAGTTACAGTAGTAGAGCATGTAGCTAGCACGCTGACTGACAAACAAAATGGCAGGAAAAATAAATAGCAAAAGCTGTAGTTTCACTGCAGAAAAGAACTGTTTATTGCGGTAGACAGTACAAATAGGGAAAACGGGACATTAACCAATGTAGAGGCATGAGAGCAGTTAAAATTCAGAACACCCAGATACCACTCTAGCCCGCAAAGGTAGCGAATAGAAACACAACTCAAGTTACAGATGCTCAAGGCTCTGATCTTACCCCATAAAACGGCGACATGACAAATGTGGCAGGAACTAAACAAAATAATCATTTGCCTTATTTGAAGGAAACTAGTATATTCGTACGTGCGATACACATTAATATTAAGGTAAAAATTAATTGCAAACTGATATTAGGTAGGATATCAATTAAGCGTTAACTACATGGATAGTGTAGCCGTCGATATTTGGTATGATATTAATTGCATGTTAAACACGTTGAGTGATTGCCGTTGGAGCAATATAGGTCGTTGGATTAACATGATTTGATGGTCGAGATTTGTTTGGATCTGTCCCTTTGGGTCTTTTTATATTGGTATAGATATAGATATATGTACTACACTTCACCTCTGGTGATCTCTAACTACAATAGTAACACAACAAAAGAAATCAATCCGGTCTCTAACTCTAATAACAGCAACACAACTCTAGAAACCAATCCGGTCTCTAACTCCAATAGCAACACAACACTAGAAACCAATACGGTCTCTAACTCCAATAGTAACATAACTCAAGAAATCAATCATCTCGTACAAATTCAGATATTATGCAAAGAGTTTTGATACTACCAGTAGCACCTCTAAATTAATAAATGCAAATATGAGTGAAAGAGTTCACCAACCTGAGTGCTTCATCAATATCCCATGGAAAGTTGGTAGCTGCCAGAACCATAACAATTTTCGGCTGACCATCTTCATTGGTAGAGCTATTGTTAACACCATCTATTTGCACTAGAAGTTCAGACTTTACCCTCCTCGATGATTCATGCTCACCAGAAGCTCTGAATAAATACATAAATTGATAAATCAGGGCACGGTATTTTCTAAATGAAGATAAATAGTAAAATATAAGAACTGGCAGTTTCATATTTTCATTACATTTGCCTGTCAAGCTTAATTAAAAAGAGGTATAAAAAGCACGAGAGTGTTCTCTTCTGCGACATGTAACTTATTTACCAGGCAAAACAATTAAGAATGTCTTCAAGTTTAAGGTACAAAGCTATTGGGAAAATTGTCATTATCTTGGCCGGCATTAATAGAACTTGAACTTGCATGGCGAACAGCAAAATGTATGGTCACATACCCACGAGATGTGCATAGGGAGTCTATTTCATCAATGAAGATTGTACTTGGAGCATAGGCCCTTGCAAGTTCAAATAAACAACGGACCATGCGCTCACTCTCCCCCCGCCATTTCGAAGCCAATGTTGCAGACGAAACATTAAAGAATGTTGTTCCACATTCTGTAGCTACTGCCTTAGCTAGAAGGGTCTTCCCGGTACCTGGTGGGCCAAACATAAGAACCCCTTTCCAAGGTCGACGAATACCCTGAACAGAAATAGAACCCGAAGGAGTATGATGAGGGCGCATGTAACTTTAGACTGAATGGAACAGGGCACAGAAAAAGAGAAAACATACGACATTAATATCATGAGTAACTAATTTTAGAAACTCAAATTGCGGTTAGCGTGATTGGGTATGCATAATATTAAATGACATATTATAAACCAGCCATATTAAAGAAAAATTAAAAAGTGTGGATGTCCAGATGACTCATGTGCACCATACTACGAAAGAAAGGCAGCAACTTTGTCCATGGTCATGATGTTAGATAGCAACAAGAATGAATGAACAGATAAAATAACAGACACTTCATTGAATAGCATAGTTCGAAATTCCAAATCATTACCTGAAAATATTCAGGCATCCAGAGAGGAAGCACAACTGCTTCCTCAAGGAGTCTTTTGGCCTCACTAAGTCCTGCAACATCATCCCATCTCACTCCTGGGGTAGAGTCTAGAACATCTCTTTCAAGCATGGCAGCTAAGTCCCCATCCGGTCCTTCATACTGTGCCTTCTTGGACTTACCTTCTTCAGCATCGCTGCTCTGAAAGGAAAGGATAAGAAAAAATAGAAAATTTTAGAAACGCAATTTGCATATAGCAGTAATCTGTAGTTCCATATCATCAAGTTGATCAAAAAGCTAAACCCAACAAGAGGCACGCACAAAAAAAAACATGCATATATGCGGATTCCAGTTCCCTAATTTAGAAGGTAACAATAGATGCTCTCCTATTTCAGTATGTGATTGCTTTTGAAATGCTTGGTGATTTCAGCATCATTCTTGTTGTGTGCGCCGTCATACTTCGCGCCTATGGAATATGCACAACGAGGAGCTAGAAATAGATGATGATAGAGTATTCCTTCAGTACAGAGTTAGAAAAAAGTGTCTTCAATAACTATAAGAAGGTATGTTTCTCGGTATGACAAACTAAATGATTTTAGGAACAAATTGATAATCCAAATCGACATATTTAAGGCTATCTTCTAAAAAAAAGGCTGAGGTTAACTCCACTTTGCATACACCAACATATGTTGGAAATAACAGCTGTAGCCACATTTTGAAACCATACAATACAAAAACTAATATATAAGAAGTATGTATCCTGGATGATATTCAAAAGCTCCCTTTTCTTCTTCTTTTGGCACCAGGCAGACAGGCAGGTAAACATTGCCAGCAGAAAAAGAAGCACTAAAAGTCTAATTCTTAAACATATATTGTTTTCATTCATGGGTGCAGACAGAGGTAACTAACAACATCAACAAAATATATTTGATCAAATAAAGATTTCAGAGTGTAACGAATATTTGCTTGAAGGAAATTACCGCTGAATCAGCCTTGCTCGAACTTGATTTTCCTTTCCTCCCGCCAGTGCTTGAAGCAGTTGATGATCTTACCGCAGAGTTTGCTTTACTTCCGCTGGGTTTTGCACCACGGCTAGGTGTTCCAGTCTTTGATGGACCCCGTGCCCAAGCTCCATCTTGGGAGGATTTTCTTGCACTAGATTGGCCTCTTGCTGACCTTCGGTTTGGTGTATTTGTATCTCTTGGAGGTGCCCACACATCAGGGTCGTCAAAGGTTGATGGCGATGATGTTGGATACTCGTCCAATGGTTGGAACAGAAATGATTTATTATTAGAGCGAATAGGAGGCGACGAGGACCGCATTGTCCCAGGGGCTTCTTTAAATGACTTCAATTGGGTATCGAGCTGCCTAACAATCTCTACCTCTTCACTTATAGCTTTCTTACAGTTCATCCATTTTGTGCGGATAAAGGTGTCATCTAAATTAGCTAGATGCCTGCATAAATATTCACGATCAACTATCACATCATGAAGGACAACAAATTAAAAACATCTGTTAAGGTTTTACTCCTAAGTACTAAAGATAACAAAGCAACGGGGAAATGCATTATCTTAGTTTTAAATATCAACAGCATTCGCCACATCAAACATTTTACCTTCAAACCTGCAATCGAGTAACACATCAACAAGAACAGGGCCTCTCGCACAATGCGACTCAAAGCAGATCCGCAAAAGGCTGGTTCTGACGTGAATGCAATGTTTTAGTGAAAACATACGACTACTGTTTTGAAAGTTTCAAGATGAAATGAAGCATTGGCGTTCATTAGGTGCAATCTGGGTGCAACCGTACAGAGCTCAGTATCATTTCTACAATAACCAAGGTGCCTCGTGACTTCAAATCCAGGCAGACTTTACATACATGACCTGATATTCTGGAGCACCCAAATCATGAACATGAGCTACTACTGGGACGCTTTTTGACGGCAGATCAGCGCAAATAGACGATTGTTTTCTCGACCCTAATTAATGATAAGCATCACAACATACTACCAACCGCAAGACTTCTCGCTTACAGCAAAATGACTAGAACCCACTATACCAGAACAATCAAATGGATCCTCACGGGCCAAATCCGAGGCCGTGAGGTCGACTGCACAGATCCACACGGGTACGACGTCGCGAATTACACAGCGCCTAACCGCCGGCGAATCCGGGAGGGTGGGCTAGGGAGCTCACTTGTTGATCTGCGCGATGGCGCCGTCGAAGAAGATGATGGATGTGTCGTAGAGGCCCTCGAGCGCGTAGTCGCGCGCGTGCTTGAGGTGGTCCTGCAGCCCGGCTAGGGGGTTCGCCATTGCCGCCGCCCCCGCCGAGATACGGGGCTACAGATTCGCCAGAGCACGCGCGGGGTAGGAAGAGGCGCGCGGGGGGGATGGATTGAGAAGAAGCAGCGAGCTACATGTATCGTCTGATTCGAATTTGGGGATTCAGACGAGAGGGTTACGGTGGCTGTCTGTTGGCGTCCGAGACCTGGGTGGGAGGATGGAGACTCGCTCGCTCAGCTTGCCGACGCGTCTGTGGCCCACTGTCAGCGAGGTACTAATCGGCTGCTGTTCTATCCTTCTTTCTCTTTTGACCGGAATCGGCTCCAGTTCTCAAAACACTAGTTCATAATCATATTTCCCTCAAAAAAAAAAGTTTATAATCATATTAACGAGGGAGAAAAAATGCGAACGTGTTCCTTGCTGGAGCCAACCCATCAAAGTTTAAAGTTGAGGTAATATCACCGGGAGCCATAGAACTTGCTTTGGACGTTCAGTTTGGTGCTAAAACTTTTAAAATTCGGGTTTTTGGTCACCTAACTTGCAATCTCGTGCAAATACGGTCATAAAGCATGTACGCCGGCATATCCGTTGCGTGCATGGCGTGGCACGTGTGCATCTTCCCACTGTCAGGGTCAGTTAGTGGCGGAGGCGCTAGGTATGATGTTCTTTTTTTGCAGAAACACCCTCAATTTGTTCAAATGATTCACACGTAATAAGTACTGTAATTGCCTCTGTCTTCTTCAGTTCCCGCCGCGCGTGCTAACCACCACAATGAACGTCCTTTGATGTCTAATACAAAGATGCATATGCTATTATATTGGTCAACTGACAAATAAATTCCTTATTTCGGCCGGGACAACCGTATACAAAGACGCCACCGATGTCAGCAATAAGCTTGCTCTAATATCGAGTTATATAAATGAATTCAGAGGGTGAGCGAATTTATTTCCATTCCTCTCAAAAGATTTCGGTTGGTTTGAATTCCTATTTCAAAGTGGACTTGGATCACTTAAAATTAAAATCCAATTTTGTACTGTAGCTGTAGGTCAGTTTTCTTCACACATCTAGGCCTAGAGTTCAAATCATGAGGCAATTAGCCAATTTTGTATATCGCAAAAAAAGGCAATTTTATACTGCTGTGGTAGGTCATTTTGATTATTTTTGTATCGAATAGGTGTTTTGGCAAAAATATAACCTGCACAAGATTCGAACCTGGTCCAGTTACATTATAAATTATTTGAATTTAAAATGTAAAAATCTAGATAAAAAATATAGCTAGCAAATGGCCCATATTTTTTATCTAGATTTTTACATTTCAAATTATTTGAAAATTCAAACAAGGAAATGACAACTACTCGAGGGTGAGCAGTTTTTGTTCGCTCAAATTTATTCAAACGGAATTTGAAATTGCACTAAAAATCTGTATAATTGGTAGGTACTGCGCTGTAAATATCAGCTAAAATTGCAAAAGTTTAGTGGTGGAGACCATCGGAATCGACATGAAGAACCCTGCTTTCTCTATAAAATAAAAGATGATGTATCTCTTCATAGACATGAAAATGTGCTCGGTGCAGTGGTTGGCACAGGGCATGTTTGTACATGACGACGTGAAATTAGACGAATTAGACTACAAGGAAAAACAAAACGCAGCGGCAGCGACAGTCCGTTGGCCTTTATTCATCTAACAGACTGTCAAGTGGAACCCACACGTGCTGCTGCACAACTAAATATAGAGCAGAGGTGTTTCTAAAAAAACATGCGCACACTTGCTCCTGTCACTAACAGTGGGCCATAGTCATGTTGGCATGCCACTTAAATGCCAGATACGGGCGAAGTGACCGTATTTACACGAGAACGCAAGTTGGGTGACCACAAACCCGTATTTTGAAAGTTCTAGCACCAAACTGAACATCGAGAGCAAGTTCTGTGACTTCTAGTGATATTACCTCTTTAAAGTTCAAGTCCTATGTTGGGTACGAGTTTTTTCTTTTTTGAGAATCACCGGGGGGCTCCCCCACCTGAATATATTACTCAAAGGACTGTCGAGGCAGTAAGTACAACATTATATAGGCACGGTGCAATGTGTAGAGAGGTAGGAGCGCCACGAGAAGACGTCCTCCTTGTCATGTGGGAGCACAAGACGATGAGACCGGAGATCCAGAGTGGAAATAAGGTTTCTAAGGGTTATTACGGAACTTTGGTCAATCGTCCTAAATACCATGTCATTGCGAGCAGACCAAATCATCCATAGCAAGGCCAGGAGGACCGAAGGCCATGTGGAGGTGGGGAGGTGAGGAGGGGTAGCGACATCCCAGAGGTCTGTGATATCATCGGATTGGGGCAGAAGGCCAAAACGTTGCCAGATCCTATTGGCAAGAGGACATGTGATGAACAGGTGGCTGGAGTCTTCTGGCAGCCTTGCACACCGAGGGCATATATCTGAGGCGAGTATATGTTTGCGTGCAAGGTTGATCCTGGTGTTGAGGTGGTCTTTGAAAAGCAGCCAAGCGAAGACTTTGAGCTTTCGAGGAATCTTTGCGGTATGAGTTTAAAGTTCAAGTCCTAGTATTTTCTAGGTTTATTTCAGATCTTCCGACAGCGTGCGTTCATATGCATGAGTGTGTGTTTGTATGTATGTCTACCAAGATGAGTGTCCTGGTCTTTCGATGAGATGGTGATGGAACCGATTTTGACGATCTGACTACAAACATGCATGGCGTTGCGTCTTAGCAATCACTAAATCAATCTCCTTAAATTATTGACGATGTCAGAAGCACGATCAGTCTGACCATGAAGGTCTATTCATGCAAACAATCAAATAACGAGCAAAAATATGATAAAGGCAGTCTGAATATTGAGAATATAAATCATGTACTAGCAAAAGGGCATGTGTGTTGCAATGAGGTAAAAGAAAGTCTTTGTCACCACAATTAAATGCATTGCCCATTTAGAAAAAGGAATTTAATGCATTAGCATCCGCAACACAAGAAGTAAATAATTTGCTACAACCTATAAGAAGCAACATTATATGTGTTATATTATATGTGCAAATGTGCAAACAATCAACAACCACAAAAATGAAAAAAAAATCTACATCAAATGTTCATTATGATAATCATATATTTAGTGCTTCTACGGCGTCAGCCTGATTTTGTCCTTCCTAGTTTGTCGTCAGAGCGAGTTGCACTGTCTAGTCGCAGGTGACTAGGTTTGGCATGAATCTTCATATATCTTCACTCGGCCTCTGCTGTGTGGGTTGAGTCGACTATCGCCTACGGCAAAGTCGGAGTCGTTTGGTCAGGGTTTTAGGGATGGTGATGATGCCTTTAAAGGATAACTAGATGATGCCCCACGCGTTGTTGCGGGAATATTTTGCAGTATTTTAATGAGATTTTGGTTATATGAAACATGAATATTTGAAATAATAGTTTTTAAAATTATATATGAATTAAATTTAATATCATAATAGAATGGAATTTTACATGCATGCATATTTTGCATGTTGAAGTGGATTTTTAATATGCATAGTTGCATGTTGGGGTGGGCCTTTTCTATGCATGTTGAATGATGAGGTGGCATGCTTGCATGTTGAGAAAAATATGTTAGTGGGGGGCTAGCTATTTAGATATAGAAGATTAGGAGGTACAACAATAGAAATAAGACCAATAATCATATCTTTATTATGTAGATCTTTAATGCGATGTTGTTTGGTGAACTTAGAACAATTAAATTCATGCGGTTCATCATCAAACTTAACTTTAACTTTCTGATTAACACAATCAATTTCAACATTAACACTATATATTCATGAAGGGTCTACCAAATATAATGGACAAAAATTATCTTATTCAGATCCAAGCACTAAGGAGTCAGTAGGATATTTGATCTTAGCACACAAGACTTCAGCATCCCTTACAATCCCAATAGGTGAGATTGTATACTATTTGCAAGCTTAATAGTAACGTCAATTTCTTCTATCTCAAGAAATGAAATATTAAGCATGACTCGAGAGAGAGAGAAATATCACTTATACTATCACATAAACCATGATAATAATGATTATTTTTATCTTTCTTATCATGTTTATTTCTAACGGGTCTAGGCATTCTAGCAGCATCATCACATAAATAAATAAAATGTCGGTCAATATTTTCAACCAAATGATCTTTAACCATGGCAATAAAAGGTTTTACTTTAATTTCTTCAAAATTTTGAAGTGCTTTAATCTAACTTAACTTTTATAAACCACAATCATAACCTTAGAGTGCTTCTTAATTCTAATAAGAAAATGTGACTTTTCAATATAAGTAGTAGGTACAACAAGATTAGCAGAATAAGCTTGTATTTCAGTATTAGCAATAATAGGTTCTTCACATACTCCCTTCGTCCCAAAATTCTTGTCTTAGATTTGTCTAAATACGAATGTATCAAGTCACGTTTTAGATATATCTAGACAGATTTAAGACAAGAATTTTGGGATGGAGGGATTATATTTTTAATGGGTTAATGATATTTAAATCATTTCTCCTTAGGGAGATCAATATAAGTAGCAAAAGATTTACAAAAATAACAACTATATCAGAATCAAATCCATATTTTGCACTAAGCTCAAGAAAAATCTCGGTTTCTACAAAAAAGACTTAACACAATCGTATTCAAGGTTTATACTCGACTCTTACCTTTGTTGACTCCAATCTTCAGCATTCCGTTTAATTCTTTCGACAAGATCCCATTTGAATTTAGTTTGTTTACTTGAGAAAGAACTAGTGGAAGAAGAATCGAGCATTTCTTTATTGCGAAGAGAAACCCTGGCATAAAAGGTTTGAACAATAATATCACTCCATAGCTCATGATTGAGGCATTTGAGCATTAAGTTTTTATGACACCCCCCTAAGTTTGAGAGATATTTTCTTCTTCATGAGGCCAAAAAATATAAATATAATTCCAATCACGGTGAACCGGGTGAATAGGATAAAATTTATTGTGGATTCCAGCTTCAGTCGGTTCCAGTCCCATGAGTGAGAATCATT